TTTGTCTTTGTCCGTAGGTATGGCGAGCTTGTCTTCAATGATATCAGCTAATGAGGAGTTGAGGTCTTCTCGTAAAAAGCGCCGAGCTGAACGTCGGTCTTCTAGGGGGAAGGTTTCTTCATCCGGGACCCCTCCCGTTGTCGATATAGAGGGGGAGGAGGACCCAATGTGTACTGACCAACAGTCACCTGAGTCCCAAGTCATCCAGGAGGAGTGAGAGGCTGGTCCTTACATGTCTGACATCCCCCCTTTATCCCCAACATTCCTGATGTGTCTGTGATTAACCTGTCAAGCCATGCACGCATGGCTGTCCGGTTGGCCAGGGTGTTCTTCTTCTTGAGGATGTGCGGCAGTTAGGTGAGCTGGATCTCATCGAGACAGGAGCTTGGCTGACCTAGTGCATCATCCAAGTTAGCTACCCTCTTTAAATTCCTTGATCTTTTTCTACAAGACTTTTCATTTTGATTTTGGCTCTCGCAGGCGAACACCTATGGCCAACTTCTACTGGACCATGCTCATTCAGGGCAAAAGGTGCAGGCCAGCATGCAGGCAAACATCGGCCTGCTTAATTCTGAAGTGCATAAACTCTGGCTCAATTCAGAGGGAGAGCGCCAAGAGTTCCAGCGCCTATATCATGCGAACCAGTGTCTACAGCGTGATCTGACCCAGTCACAGAGTGGCGCGAGCTGGAGGAGAGGTGGTTGAAGTGTGCCCAACACTTGCTCCAACCTAAGGAGGAGGTTGTTGCTTCTTATCTGCAGTCTCCTCAATACGAGAAGCAAAGGGCGGTGGATGGTATCCCTTCCATGAAGAGGGGATCCAAGTTGTGCCATCGTTATCTCAAGTCCCTGTATCCCGATCTCGATGCTAACTCTTTTACTGTGCACAAGGTCCTAGGCGAGCTCGTCACACAGGTGGATAAAGAGCCCTTGACCCCAGAGGAGGAGGAGGATGTTGACGAAGAGGGGGTCGAGGAGGGAGGCGACAAGGAGGCCCAGGGTGATGACGGTGGTGACGAGTAGCTCGGTGTACAACTCGACTGGCGGTCTAGTGGTGGCAATGGTGGTTTCTCTAATTGTTCTGGGGTCTTTATGCTCCTGTAAGCTTTCTGGGGCCTATGTACCCTATATTTGTCTGAACCTGCTGAACGGCCACTTGGCTTGCTCACTTGTACGGCCGTTTGGCCTTTTTGTTTAATAAAAGCATTTGTTTCTTATAGCATCCTTTGTTTGCTTGACTATCTTCATGTTGATTAGCTCGACTCTACTGTAGAGCATATCTCTGTTACTCTTTTACCTTTAGCACTGTTGATCTACCTTTTGCGATATCAGGCCGAGTTGTTAGTTGATTCTAGTAAGCTCTTAAATGCAGCTCGAAACACTTCATTTTCAGAGGTAGTACCTATGTAGGTTGTCCACTTCCAGGCTTGGGGCATTGCCTTCCCATCAAGTGTTTTGAGCTCGTATGCGTTCCCACCTATAATCGTAGAAACTCTATAGGGGCCTTCCCACTTCGGTGCAAGCTTCCCTATGCCAGGCATGGGTACCATAACTTTCCTGAGCACTAGGTCACCTACCCTGAAGTGGCATTTCTTGACTCGGGCATTGTAGTACCGAGCTATGCATTGCTAGTATGCTGCGGTCCGGATGTAGGCCAGGTCTCTAACTTCTTCCACCAGATCGAGGTTGGCTCATAAATCTTCTTCATTTGGTTCTTCGTCAAAGGCTTCAGATCGCAACGTTGTGACCTCCATTTTAGTTGGTATCACTACTTCAGTCCTGTAAGTTAGATTGAAAGGCATCTTGCCTGTCGTTGTCTTGATGGTGGTTCTGTAGGCTCACAGCATGCTAGGCAGCTTGTCCACCCACAAACCCTTATCTCGGGAGAGCTGAGCTTTGAGGCCATGTAGAATGGCCCTGTTGGTGAATTCAGCTTGTCCATTAGCTTGGGGGTGCGCTACTTAAGTAAAGTTATGCTTTCATTGTGGGTCAGTAGTACCCTTGCCTCAAAGCCTTCTGAGCGAGGGCCCTGCCCCCCATGTGTCCTCCGCAGAGACCTTCGTGAATCTCATGCAGGACATGGTCTACTTCTGCTTGCCATAGGCACCGTAGGTAGGGCAGTGTGAAGGATTTCTTTTAGAGCAGCTTGCCCACTATCCCATAGCGGGCTGAGTGTTGTTTTATTTTCTGAGCTGCATTCTTTTCTGTTGGTAGCGTTCTGTGTTTCAAGTAGCTGTAGATCGGGTCGATCCAGCTCGATTCTGTGTTAGTTATATGGGCGACCTCCTCTCCCCATTTTTCTATCGAGGGGTGAGGTAGATCTTCTATGTAGATTGTTCATTTTGTCGAGTCAATTGTGCTCGCAAGTCTGGAATTGGCATTAGCCTTTGTATATTCTGATCTTGGAATTTGTTGGAGGTACCAAGAGTCGAAACTGGGGATGAGTTCTCTTACTTTGGCTAGGTAGGCTGCCATGGAAGGTTCTCGTGCTTCGTAGTCCCCATTTACCTAATTTACAATGAGTTGTGAGTCGCTGCAAACCACTAGGTGCTTAGCTCCCACTTCCTTTGCTAGTGCCAATCCAACCAACAATGCTTCATATTCAGCCTCGTTTTTTGAAGCTCGGAATTGAAACCGGAGTGCGTACTCCAACTTTACATCACAAGGTCTATAGACTATTAACCCAGCTTTGCTCCCACTCTGGTTAGACGAACCATCAACATGAAGTATCCATGGCTCCTTGTCCCAGCCCGCTATCTCACAAGCTGGAGGTGGTGCCGGACTAGATGAAGCTTTCGCTTCTGGTTCTATCGTCACAGGGAGTGGCGAGCTGAAGGTGCACTCGATAATGAAGTCTGCCAGGACTTATGCTTTTATCGCTGGTCGCGATTCATACCAGATGTCGTACTCACTGAGCTCTATTGACCATTTTGTTAGTCTGCCCGAGACCTTAGGTTTCTGAAGGACTTACTTCATGGGTCAATCGGTTAGGACAATAATGGTGTGGGCTTGAAAATATGGTCTTAGCTTTCAGGTGGCTAGCACCAGTGCAAAGGCGAGCTTCTCTATGTTGGGGTATCTTGTTTCTGCCGCATGTAGGATCTGCTTATGTAGTACATGGGTTCCTGTATTTTATCAACATCTCTTATCAGGACTGAGCTAACCACCTCGTCACTCACAGAGAGGTAGAGTGTGAGCTCGTTCCCAGTCTCAGGTCTAGTCAACAGAGGAGGCGAACTAAGGTACTGTTTCAGCTCATCAAAGGCGAGTTGACACTCCTTAGTCCATTCGAAGGCTTGGTTTTTCTTATCCTTGAAGAAGGGAAGACACTTCCCAGCCAATTTGGACATAAATCGGTTCAAATCTGCTATCCATCCAATTAGTCTTTGGGTCTCCTTAACCAAGCTAGGTGGTCTTATATCTAAGATAGTCTGGATTTTCTCGGGATTGGCCTCTATAACACGCTAGCTAACAATGCAACCTAGGAACTAACTTGCGGTCACACCAAAAGCACACTTATTCGGGTTCAATTTTAAATTATGCTTTCTCAAAACATTGAACACAAGGTTTAAATCAGAAATCAAATCTTTTGAAAAAATAGTTTTTACAACCATGCCATCTACATAGCACTCTGCTTTATCTCCAATTAAATAAAAAAAAGAAACAGAATTAACAAGATGCTGAAAGGTCACCCCAGCATTTTTCAAACCAAAGGGCATGACCTTGTAATAGTATAAGCCCGTTTCAGTAATAAAAACGGTCTTCTAGATCCATCAGGATCTAGTTATAGCCTGAGTAGGTTCCATGAAACTAAGCAGCTCGAATCCCGAGGTCGCATCCACCAGGCAATCTATGCTAGGAAGGGGAAAGCTGTCTTCGGGCAAGCTTGGTTCAGGTCTGTGTAGTCTATGCACATTCACCACTTGCCATTTGCCTTCTTTATTAGAACTGGATTTTCTATCCAGCTCAGGAATTGGACTTCCTTCATGAAGTCTGCTGCTAGCAGCTTTCCCACCTCCTCGTCTACTATGTGCCACCTTTTCGGGGTGAGGTTTCTCTTCCTCTACTAGACAAGTCTAACTGTAGGGTCAACATTGAGTTTATAAGTTATTATTCTAGGGTCTATGCCAGGCATTTCTGCCACCGACCAGGCGAAAACATCTAAGTTATTTAGTAAGAAACTTACCAGTTCAGATCGCATGAGTTCTACCAGGCGAGCTCCGATTTGGAGCATTTTTTCGGGCTTTGTTCTGGAGATGGGAACAGTAATTGTCCCTTCTGTCGGGCAAGCTGGCTCTTCATCATTTTTCGGTGGAGGCTCCAGGTCTATGTTGGAGGCAGTCTTGCCCTTCACCTTCAGAGCTACTACGTAGAACTTTTTGGATTCCAGCTGGTCTCCTTGCAACACCCTACGCCAGTATCTATCGGGAACTTCAATGCTAGGTGGTATGTTGAAAAAACAGCCTGCAAGGTGTGCAAGATTGATCGCCCTAATATTGCATTCTAGGGAGATGAGGTGGCAATTACCAAGAAATCATGTTCGAAACGTACTGTATGGGGAGGGGAGCCTGCCTCGACCAACACTCTTACCTTGGCTATGGGGCGGACCACCTCCCCGCTGAAGCCTAACAGTGGGATGTCAGCTGGCTGTAAGTTTGTTTTGCCAAGCTCCATCTACTTGAAGGCCTCCAAAAACAGAATATCTATCAAGCTGTCTGAGTCTACTAAAATTCTCTTCACCCTGAAGTCATTAATCATTAGTTTGACTACCAAGGCGTCGTCGTGTGGGTACTGGACCCCACGTATATCATCATTAGTGAAATAGATCACTTCTTCTTTCTAGGGGCACTTGGACGGGGTGCTGTCCTCCTGTTCAAACTTCCTTATTGAGTTTTTACCTGCTGATGTGGTGCAGTCAACAACAATTGAACTTCCTGTGATCACATTAGTGGTCCCACGAACTTGTCTTTCTTGCTACTGCTGGTTGCGAGGAGTTGGCTCCTACTCCCTGCTGACCTGAGGCACTTCCTTGCTAGTTCTTTCCTCAGGTCGCCATTCATCTTTAATGAAGTGCCTCAGGTAGCCCCTCTTGATGAGGTCTTCGATCTCATTCTTCAAGTTCCTACAATTTTCCGTGTCATGCCCTACGTCTTTGTGGAAATGGAAATATTTGTTCGGGTTCCTATTGTTGGGGTCTCCCCTCATCTTGAATGGCCATTTCACATAGTCGTTGGACTTGATTTGCAACAGAATTTCCTTTCTTTTTGTGTTCAAAGGAGTGAAAGTCTTGATATATGCTGGTGGCATTGCTGATCGCTTGTTGGAACCTCTGGCCGGCGACCTGCTTATTCTACGTGACAAGCTACTACGCCTACCTTTTAGTGATTTGCTCCTCTTGGGAGACTTGCTTCTTCGCTTGGTCCTGCTGTGACTTGCTTCTTCCTCAGCCCTTTTCGTTTTCCCGATCAGATCAGCCTTTGATCCTACTGCCTCTTCAGCCTTGATGAATTGATGCGCCAAGTCGAGAAAGTCTTCCATGGTGGGTGGAGGGTGTAACTCGATTTCCCATTTCAACTTAGGGTGTTGTACTCCATTCTTTGCTGTGATAAGTTATACAGTTGGATCTAGGTCTGGGATCTGCAAGCACTCCGTGTTGAATCTTTTGATGTACTCCCTCAGGGTTACATTTGGTTTCTAGATGATGTTCAACAAACAGGTCGCTGATTTCGAATGTCTCTTACTAGTGGCAAACTGGTTGATGAAGAGTCTGGCGAACTGGTCCCAATTCTTAATGGAACCTGGAGTTAATCTAGAGTACCAGAGCTAGACTTCTTCTTTCAATGTTGTAGGGAAAGCTTTGCACATGTTGGCATCATTCGCTCCATGAAGAAGCATGAGTGCTTGAAAGCTATTGGCATGCTCCACTAGGTCCGTCTTTCCTTTGTAGGACTCTAGGGTTGGGGCCTGGAAGTTCTTTAGTCTTGGGGCCTTAAGGATTTCAGGGACCAGTGAGGTCTCTCGGGTCAAGGAGGGTGATTCAGGGAGGGGAACCATCCTGCTAGTGGCAACACTATTTTCTCCATGCTAGGCTTCACTGCTTGCTCGGGCGAGCTGAATCTTTTTCCCGGCGCAGTGCGTGCATTTTTTGTGCTTCTTCCCGGTACCCTCAGTCGAACTGGAAGCATCGGTCCCAGCAGGAACCTCAGCTCGGCTTTCAACTGGGACTTGATCATTTCGGGCTGCACCGTTGGTATGGTCTCAGTTGTCTCCTCTGTTGGGCACCTGGACCTGGCTACGACCCTGTTTGGGGTGAGCTTGGTCTTCATGATTGGTCTGTTTCAAGTCGTTGTTCTGAGGAGGCACCTGCTGGCTATTTCGTCGTGCCAATTGGTTATTACGAGGTACTTGTTGATCATTGGGCGGTAGTTGTTGGAGCTGCTTGAGCGGTACCTACTGATTGTTCCATGGCACCTGCTAGAGAGGTACTTGGGGGAGTCACTGCTGTTGATGTCGCTGTTATTGCTATTGCTGCTGCTATTGTTGCTGTTGTTGTTCAGACATGAAGCAGAATTTGTTCTCCCATGACCTGAGTTGTTCGGTCATACTCTGCACGCATCGTACCAGGTTATTGAATTGTTGTACGTCGACCATTGTGGGGGCTGTTGCTGGGTTGGCCACAGGAGGTGGTACATTGATGTTGTCTTGTACTTCAGCCGAAGGTAAGGGAACGTCAATCTGGCTTATGGTGGTAATGGGGATTTGGCCATTGACATTGTTGTTGGCAAAAGGGTTGCTTGAGGATGCCATTGATAATCTTTTGAAAAAGAATAAAAGAAGGGAACCTTAGCTTTTCGCTGCGTTTCCCACAGACGACGCCAATTGATGATGTGCGATCTGGTCGCTCCCTCATGTCTTGTGACTAGGCTCAAACAAGGTCCTGATCTGGCAGTGCCGAGCTGCACGACTGAGCTGGTATCTGTTTGTCCGAGCTAGAAAGAGCTGTAAAGAGAGAAGGGTTAGAGTGCTTGGGTAGGTTTTACCCCGGAGAACACTCCGATGCTTAATTCAGAATGGGAATTTCGTGAGAATGTGTGAGAGAGCTTAAAGTGCATCAGTGTGCATACCTTTTTAGGGTGGATTTGGAGTCCTTTTATAGTTATCTAGGGTTCAGGTGCTTTGGGCAATGTCTCTGAGGCTTTGGCGGAGCTGTTTTCGCAATATAAGGCGTGTTGGTATGTTAGTTGCTAGATTCATGCAGCGGTTACAGGTTGCCCATAGGTCTTGTGGCACACGGTTCGGTGAGTTGTTCCTATGGTCACGGTAACGGTGCCCGCGAGGGTGTGGTGCGTGGAACGGTTTGGGCAATCTCGTGTTGGGGGTGGCTCAAGCTCGCCCCAACTTGGCTGCCTACCTAATGTTGAGTGACACATGCTGACTCGTTGAGCTGGCCTGTTGACTTGGCATTGCACTCTCAATAGTGTCCATGTGTCATGATCTGTGTGGAGGGACCAAAATGCCCCTCATCACAAAGTTTTCTAATTGTAAAATTATTTGATAATTTCAGTTATATGTATTTATACTCGTCATTAGAGAATTAATAATTTTATATAAATGTAATGAAAGTTGTAATAAAATTAAAGTAGTTAAGAAAGAAGAGAAATTGTCATACAATGTGAAATAAAATAAACATATATTACTATCATCTCTTTCTCCCACTAAATATACTTGGGTTCTCACAAACTTGTCTTCTTATGATTGCAAGTGACCTTCTCTTTCTCTACCTTCTTTTCTATTGACAACCTTGACATAATGTTCAAACATCTTGAGTTGCCAAATTTTGGTTGACTCCATTCCTCTAATAGTAATCGATGTATGATTATATGTGTTAATAATTAAAAAAAAACAAATGTAATTAGGGTCCGTTTGGTTTACAGTTAGAATCGGAATTAGAATCGAAATTCTTCGGAATCAGAATCAGAATGGTCCATTCCCATAGTCTATTTGGTTAAGATATTAATGGGAATGGGAATTGGAATCAACATGAATGGAATTTTATTCCTGAGGGGCAGGGAATGGTCATTCCCTCAAATGGGGGAATGCCATTCTAGTTGGAATGAGAATGGGATTTTGATTCCACCCAACCAAACAGTTGGAATCAGAATGACCCATTCCGATTCTGATTCTAGACCCCTATTCCAGTAAACCAAACAGGGCCTTAATATTAATAACATGCAACATCTTACCTCAAAATCTAATCCTTGGAAATTTTTTTTCTTGGAGGACTTTCATTGGTATTTGTTGATCCAGTAAATGAAGATTCACTTGTACTATGCTTGATGTCAACTCTACTTTCTACTAGGAAAACTTTAGACACTATGAGTAATGAATATTGATATTGCAAAAAGAAATTTTGATTTGAAATACAACAGTTGATCCAATCACTCCATCAAACTTTTCATCCAATAATTCTTCCCCATTCTCCTATAATCAAATGATAATTTAATAAAGGGCAAATTTCTTAAACTACTCCTAAGTTTTAGGAAATTGACCAACTCTAACCCTATTGTTTCAGTATTGTCTTAAAGTACCCTTACTATTTCTAAGAATTGTTGCCATTGTTAAATTGTAACATAGACACATGAAAAGTCACTTTTACCCTTATGTTAAAGAAAGGATCCCAACTCCGCTACTGAACAGACCAAGCAAGAGGCTCTTTCATTGTTGTCATCGCCGTTCAAGTAGGGGAGCTGAGTTTATGAGAGGGAATTCACTGTTGCCATTGATGCTTCTTCTCAAAGCGGTGAGTTTGGTGGCGGCAAGAAGGTGAATTCGATCTCCTCCTCTCTTTCCCTCACCTCTAACCTCTCTTTCTCTCTCTTGATCACCTTCTTCTTCCAGGTAGAGAGTGTAGAGAAGGGGTTGTCAAAGTAGATGTTTGTAAGCTGAGTAGTAGTAATGGCAATAGGAGAGATGTGCATCTTCCTTTTCTTGCTATAGAACTCGAGGAGATTGGTGTCAGCACCCAATTTTTGCTTGGTTCCCTCTCTAATTCACTTCTTACACCCTAAATGCCTGACCAGACCTCACCAATCTCTTTAGAACATGCCAAAACCCTAGTTAACCAAATCTCAGCTCAAATACCCTTACATCCATCCTTAAATCAACAAGATTCCCTTTTGATGGTCACGATTGTGCCACATCACCATACCTGCCACACAATCAGCTCCCATCACGTGAAATAAAACCTTTGGAAAACCAATCATACCAAATTTCAGCCCTAAATTCCTTGATTTCAGCAAATAAAATACAAATTCAAGGCAAACAAAAAAATGGAGTTGTTTTCCTGTTTAGTGGAAAATCAACAATTCAACCTTTTTGGGTCAAATGTGTTAACCCTTGATGTCATAATTAAATAATAATAATAATAATAAATAGAAAATTAAAACAGACAAAAGTATAAGAAATACAAAAAAAAAGAAAATATTTGGGCACATCTTTACTATCGTATATTTATCATATTAGAAAAAATTAAGTGTGACAAATAAGAAGAATTTTATAGATATGAAAATATAAAAAATTGTGGAAAATAATTTTAGAAACATATTATTTACTATCATCGATCATCAAAAATTCCCATGTGCACACACACACACACACACAAGCTCAATTTGGCTCATGAGCTGAACTGTATTAGGCTTGAGCTTTTCTCGATTAGCAAACAAGCCTATATAATTGGTTTGAGTTTGGCTCGAAGCTAGATTTATAACAAGTCAAATCAAGCTTTTCATGAGTCGAGCTCAAATAAGTTGTAAAAAGCTCGATTCGTTTCCACCCCTACCCCTTTATCTCAAAACCTAAGCTTCTCTCTTATCATCATCATCATCATCATCATCGTCATCATCTTCTTCTTCTTCTTCTTCTTCTTCTTTTTCTTCTAACTTTTGAAACTATTTGATTTGGCATTATAGGTGTTAAAGTTTGTTTTCTGCTATTTTATAAATGGCTCTTCAGCAGGTTATTTCCAATCATCTAAGGGCCTAAGACAAGAGGGCCCTCTCTCCCCTAGCCTATTTATCTTGATTGAAGAAGTTCTAAGCAGAGACCTCAATACAATTTTTATAAATGGTATGTCTCTCACTTTGCCCTCCCTAGCTAGATAGCCTAGAGGTTGCATGAGAATATCACACAAAGTTTATATGATAATGACACAATGCTTTTTGAAACAGGAGAGAGAAGAGGTCTTAAGGATCTTGTGGAGTTTCTATTAATTTATAGAAAGCCTTATGTCAATTGATAAATAAAGACAAGTCAGGCTAGTTTCATCGTTCATCCCAGAGTGAATGCCTCTAGTATCAACATGATTAAGCAGGTCATTGGATTCAAGCACAATGAATCTCCATTTACTTATTTGGGAACTCCTATTTGTCATAAAAGACTAAAGATTATAGACTTTGAACCTCTTGCCATGAAGATTCAAACAAGGATCAAGGGGCGGAAAGGGAAGATTCTCTCATCTGGAGGTCATTTAATTATAATTA